TGCCACCCCGGGGGCCACGTCACGAGGTTTCTTCTGGGGGCAGAGACCCAGCCCAGAGTCTCTGGAGTCTTGATGTCCCAAAAGAACGCCAGCTGGCTTCTAGAGCTTATTTAGCACAGGGCTTGGCACACAATAGACATTCAGGAATAATAACAACAATAGCCAGTGTGCCAGACACTGCTCTGCATGGTTTACAGACCTTATGTCACTTGATCCCCATAGCTGTGCCATGAAGTAGGGATAATAACCCCATTGTACAGGTATAGAAACTGAGGCCGCAGGAAGGGACACTGCATGTGAGTGGCAGAGCCAGATGAACTAGGGAACCTACCTCAGAGCCTGGGCTCTTAACCAGCGCGTTCACACCGTCTGCATTCACGCACCTCTGTGGCTTCCAGTCAGTGACCTCCAACTCTAGGCCAATAAGCCTGTGACGTGTATTATCTCGTTGAATCCTCACAACCAGCCCACACGGTGTATGGTGTACGTATCTTTATTAGCCCCATCTTACAGAGGAGGAAACTGAGGCCCAAGAGGTAAAGGAGCCCCAGGGGGCCTGATAGGCTTGGGAATTGTTGACCAGGCAGAGACAGGTGGCAGCAGCTTTGGTTTGGGTAAGTCAAGGTGTCTTGCAAAGCAGGAAACCAGAAGCGCTGAGGCCCATTCATCCTGTGTGGATCTGGTTACCCTGAGCACCCACAGCGTACAGGGCTGTATGTGGGGAGTAGAGGTGAGTTAGAGGCGTGCACTTCCTCAGCTCACACGGTCTATCAGAACACAGACAGATGCAAGCAGATGAAGACGATGGTGTGTAGTGAGTGCTGTTGCAGGGGAGCCCCAGGAAGGGTCCGTAACCAGCGTGGGAAGGTCAGGGAGGCTTCTCAGCACCAGGGACATCCAGCATATCTGGACAGGTGGCAGATTTCCATCTAGACAGCCAGGGAGATGGTCTTGGGCTGAAATCTTTATCCAACATCAGCCACGCCAGAATGTTCCACCGCTCAGAAGGGATCCTTTTCCCATCCACCTCACTCCTGCTCTCCCATCCCTCTGGCTCCCTGTACAATTGGAACTCTGCCAGCCAGTTCTGCCTCTGGGTCTTTGCAGAATGGCAGATCAGGGACTAGGCTTGGCTGAGACCTGGACCAACTTGTAGCCAAGAAGGTCCAGAGCTCTGCATTCTAGGGCAGCTGCACAGTGGAATTTCCATCTGGAATCAGCTGTAGCCAGTAGCCGTAAACACCTCCCTCCCTTCCTGTCCTGCCTGCCTCCACCCAGCCCGAGTACCAGCCCTTCACCAACATTAAAAAGGTATAGGGAGGTCATCCTTGTTTGTCCCTGTGGGTCTAGGTTACTGCTGGCCCGAATTCAGATGTGATGGCTAGAGCTTCAGCAGCCGTTTTGGGTTCCTGAATGGATCTGCCTAGCTCACTCCCTACCTTCTATCCCTCCTTCCAAGAAAATTAAATTAAAAGGAACTCATATTTGTGGAACACCTACTGTGTACCAGGTGCTGTGCCTTGTGGTTTGTATTATTTCTTCCCACCAACCCCATGCGATGGGTATCACTAACCCTAATTGTGTAACGTCCCTATAAAAGTGTTTGGGGTCATATATGGAACAGAACAGTTCCCACAAAGTCCCAGGCCCTTGGGGCTCTCATAGCAGACATTCAAGGTATGAGGTGTCATGATCCTCATTTTACAGACAGGGAAGCTGGGTCTCAGGACGTTGTACAGACTCACCCAGTTACTAGAAAGAGACAGAGCCAAGTCTGGAACCCCCGTGTCTCTGATTCCAAACTTAGGTTCTTTCTAGTGCCGTGCAGCCACTAATGTCCACCCGCTATGGAAAGATGCTGCCCTACCTTGACCTCCACCCTGAACCCAGGGATCTGAAAAGCCTCTTCTGTGTGTATACATGTGTGTGTTTTCACTGAACACTCTTTAAAAGTGGTTGTAAAGAAAAGAACAAGAAGTAAGCAGGTAATGAGAAAATAACAAAACTGTACAGGGAATTGTCTTTTGTGTTCCTGCAAAGTCATTGGAATAACCCGGTGTGATTTGTGATTCGAATGGAAATGCAGGTGTTAGCAGCCGAGCCTTTGTGTTGCTTCCTAAGCTCCCCAGCACAAGCCTCCCCAGTGCTTTCCTGTCTCCTTTTTAGACAAAAACCTTCCTCTTCAGCCTTGAAGGACTGTTCTGTCTTGTGCTTGCCTTTGGCACTAAAGCAGGCCCCCTAGGCTGGCTGGGGAGAGCGCAAGGCTCCATCTCAGGGAGGAGATTTGAGCGAAGCAGCCTCTGCTCTCAGCGTCTCAAGCACAGCACACGGCTGTGCTTTTCACGTGCTGTGTGTCGTTAAGCAAACCACCACCCCTCTCTGGGTTTCTCTTTTCTCATCTGTAAAATGAAAATGATTTTTAAAGTCTTCCCCACCACACACCTGATCTTCTATGAAGTGAACAGGGCTGGATTCAGACCCCAGCTCTGACACCTGGGTGACCTTGGGCAGGTCACTTTACCTCTCTGCCTCAATTTCTTCACCTCCAATTAGCAGCCAGTACCTGTCAAAGGAGTATATTCAATAAACTCATTTCCTACAATGTATTAAGGACCTACTGTGTGTCGACCATTGTCCATTTTCAGTTAGGCATCGGGCACTCCAATCACGCCCCTATTTTTCAGTCACTGATATGTGCCAACACAAAAATGGGGGAGTCTCTCTTCTCTCAAGAAGGGGGTGGGCACTTCTGAGTTCTTGACCCTTGTCTTAGTGAAGGTTCCATCCATAATAAAGGCCCAGATGAAGTGGCTTAAACACACAAGAGGTGATGCTGTCCCATAGGCAAAGGCTAGAAGAGGCAGTTCAGGGCTGGTGGCTCCATAGCTTTCAGGGGCCAAAATTCCCTGTCTTGCTATTCTGCCATCCTTAGTGAGCCAACTCATGGCTCATGGTGGCTGCCACAGCTCTGGCCATCCTGTCTGAATTCCAGCCAGCAGGAAAGAGGAAATAGGGGTAAAAGCGAAGCACTCCCCCTTTTAAAGAGAATCCCAGGGAGCGCCGCATAACACTGCTGCTTCATCTCATTGGCCAGAACTCATCACCGTAGTATGCTTGGCAACAAGGGAGGCTGGAGAATGTACCCAGCTATAAACTGGAGCTCTTATGACTAAGGGAAAGGGGGAGAGTGAATTGTAGAAAGTACCTGACAATCTTTCTAGCCATAGTTCTATTTTAGATTTGGGGGCTTTGTCCTGGAGGAACCCTCACAGCAACGCTCTGATGTAACTACTCTTACTGTCCCCATTTTACAGCTGAGGCAAATGGAGGTCAGGGGCATACAGGGGCTTGTCCAAGGTCCCACAGCTGGTGATCCACAGAGCCTTCCACTGTAACCTAAAGCTGCAGGCAGAGAACGGGAACTTCCACTCCAACTGTAACAGGAGGATCTTTCCTGCCCCCAGAGGACCCAGATTCTGTAGAGAAGCTTCCTTCGTCTTTATTTAAGAAATTTTAGAGCAGCTTTGAACCCAGAGGCCTCCCACCCACTCTGGACTTGAGAATCATTGAGGGTTGGAGTCATGGCATTGGTGACTGGTTGGTGAAGATGCGGAGGGAGAGGCCCAGGAGCCCTGGGGAGGACTGGGGTCTGCCCACCACCCGTGGTCCTCACTCACTGTCCTCCTACAGGTCAGCGGCCACTTGGACTACGCCAAGCAGATGGACGTCATCCTGAAGGCCGTGGGCATCCACACCAAGCCAGGCTGGGACGAGAAGGGGCTCTTGCTGGCCCCTGGCAGCCTGCCTCAAGAGGAGCCTCGCCAGGCAGCAGCGCCCTCCTCATCGGATAAGACCACCAACCAGGATGGGCAAACCCAAGGTCCCACATCCCCCTTGGGAGACACCCCCAAAGCAGCCACATCTCTTGACCCCAGCCAAGCCCAAGTGCCAGTGAGACTGGACCAGTCTGAAGGGGCCTCTCTTCCTGATGCTGCCAGGCCTGCTGAGAGCCCCCCTGTCTGCAGCCATGGCATGGGCCCCAACCCACTGGGCTGCCCCGACTGTGCCAGCGAGACACAGGGGTCCTGCCCAGGGCTGGACTGACCCCAGAAGAGTCATTCTCCCAGATTTCTATATGCAGTGCTCTCTTACCCCACTCCACCGGGTCCCTCACATGAGCTCTGGAGATGCAGAATTTCCACCACTGTCTTTCCTAAATTGAAGACATTGGTACTGGAAGGAGGGGGATTGTAAGAAGACACCGTCCCCTCCCCAAGGAAGCAAGTCTAGAGCTCTGCAGAGTCAACCAAGCACAGTGTAGAGCCCCAGGACTAGACCAGCCGTGGGCCTCCTGTGCTTCGGGTCAGAGCTGTAGGGTCTGGCTGCCCATCAGGTGGCTCAGGAGCTCTGTGGAGCCTGAGGCTCCCACCCAGCCACGCTCCCCAGCCTCAAAAGCCTGGTGTCTGCCGACCCATTCGCCCACAGGCACCACTGCCACACCTACAGAGCAGGTACAAGTGGGACAAGCAGCTTATTCTCTCTGCTCTTGGGAGATTCGATGAGATCTGCCACATGCAACTGTACAGGCTGTGCACCGCACAACTACAGGGGCAGCATCATAAAGACGTGATGTGAAGGGCGCCCCCCAAAGTTATGCCACGTAGTGGCCCTGGATATAACTGTTACAGAACAATTATAGAACGTGGTGAAGAAGTGTTACAGAACGTGGTGAAAAAATGCTGGATCAGCAGGCAGTGTGGACTGGGCCTGTGACGAGAATGAATTAGATGGGGATTTCCTATAGCAGAAACAGAGGTGTGATGATTCTAATAATAAATAATAATAACAGCTACCATTTATTAGGTATTTACTGTGTACAGGGTGCTTACCTGGATTGTCTCAGTTGACCCTCACCACAACCCTATGAGGTAGGTTCTATTATTATCTTCATTTTCACTTGCAGACCCAGAGAGGTTAGGTAATCTACCCAAGATCACACAGGTGGTCAGTCTCAAGCTCCAGTCAGTCGGCCTCTAGAGCCCAAGCTCTTAGCCACTGGATCTGCATCCCTGGAACCATCCCCTTTGGTCCTCCCACTGTCTCTGAATGAGCGGGCCAGAGATAATCCCCCCCGCATCGTGCAGATGGGGAAACCAAGGCCCCGGCAGAGAAAATATTGACAAGCTCAGGGGAGGCAGCGAGGAGTGGGGAGAGGCAGGGGAATTAGAGTGTTGGAGCCAAATTGGTCCTCAGGGGTACGTGTATTTGTTTCAAAAAATATTTACAGAACTCCTACTGCTGTTAATCCAAACAGCTCATGTCACCCACGGAAAACTGAGGCCCCGAGAGAGGACATGACGTTGCTGAGGTCCCAAAGCAAATTCAGGGCAGAGTCTGGACCAGAACCCAGGACACCTGCACCCAGAGTCTCTTCCCACTTCACCAGCTGCTTCTACAGCCTGAGTGGCCCCTCAAGCGAATTCAGTTCACACCACGGTCACCGCCTCAGCTAGTGTTTATTGAGAGTCCACTGGGGCAGGCCTGGGGGTAGAGGGGGAGCCCCAGTAAGCACCAGGGCCCCTCTACAGCCAGCGGCATGGCCAGAATTGAGTCTACTCAGCACCAAGGAGAGCTCCAGGCCGCCAGTGGAGGCCCCTGGGAGTTTGGGTGGATGGAACTTGGAGGTGGGAAGCAGAGTAAGAAAAACCTCTGACTAAAAAGAAACCCTAAAGTAGGTAAGCTTTGGGAACCAAGAGTTCCCCCGTCAGAAAAAAGCAGGCCCCTGTGCCAGGGTCCACCTGCCTGCCCGAGGGCACCAGCCCACACCAGGGACAGCTCTACAACTCTGCTGACCTGATGACCACCACTCCCACTGAGCCCTGGGAAGGCCAGAAGGAGGTGGTCAAGGGCTGGTTCTGTCCCCACCAGCTGGTTCCCTTCTAGGCCCAAGGAAGTCCAGGCTAGAGGAACACCATTCCCGGTGCTGAGCAGAAGCCACCAGCTCTCCCTTCGGCTCCAGGAGACGCAGTGCAGCCGCCTGGGAGCTGGGGTGGGGGCCATACGCAGCTTCCAGAGCGAGCCAGGCTGTGAGATCTGGGCCGGGGCTGAAGACGAGGAGGAAGGTGGAAGAACAGTGGGAACAAAGAGCCCTTCCTGGCCCTCAGCCAGAGGCCAGGGGGCTGGATGGCCAGGAGCTGTAACAGCAGGGACCACCAGCCGACCACCTGCCGAGTGCCGGGCATTCTGTGTGCAGTATCCTAACGCTCAAGACACCCTATGAAGCAGGCATCGTTACTCCCATTTTGCACGTGGAGTAATAGGCTCAGAGGGGTTAAGTAACTTGTACGAGGACTGGTAAGTGGTGAAGCAGAGGTTCACATGTAGGCCTGCCTGACTCCCAGGCTCAGATGCTTTGTGTGCGGGCAGGTGTATCCTGAGAACCTGACTGGTCCAAAAACGGTCTAGCAAACCATTCTCGGGGTTAAAGATCACCTGAACCAGCACATCTCAAACGATAATGTGCGCAGGATCCACCTGCTGAACACCAGGTCGGGGTGGGGCAGAGGTGTGCGTTTCTAACAGGCTCCCGGGAGCTGAGGCGGTGGCCCACGGACCACACTTGGAGGACCGAGGAATTTGGCCCAGCGCCAAGCTGCCTCTGCAGACAGAGGTGTCCCTCCCACGCAGTCTGACAGAAACGTGCAAAGGAGATGGTTGTCTTCATCCTAATCTGGGCCAAGAGGTCCTTACCCCACTCCCTGGAGTCCCCCAGCCTTGCTCTACACACATCCACAAGTTACACTCAATAGTGGGGCATCCTGGAGAAAACTGTACCGAGCCAGCAACTAGCCCTCCAGGTAGGAGGCCTGGAGTGGGCACGGGGAGCTGGCTCCGTGCAGCCCCCTGGAGTTCAGCGGGCTCCCGGGAGACCTGTAGCATCCTGGTTTTAGCCAAGAACTGGTCCAGGGCCTCAGGGACTTGGTCCCATCCGGTCCAGCTCTCCAAGCCTGCGTCAGTTCCTCGGGGTACCAAGCGGATGCAGCTGCAGCTCAGGCTCCGCAGGATCAACGTTGAAGAAGCTGACTGCGGTAGTGGTCCCGGCAGGCGGCGGGGGGTCCCGGGTGGCCTCTCCAGGCAGCAGCAGCTGGGCCGTGAGCTGCAGGCCTGAGGAGCCCCCCGAGCCCGGGTCCGAGTCCGAGTCCGAGTTCGGCAGCAGGGGCAGTGGCAGCACGTGCTGCAGGCTCAGGCCCGGCCGTGGGCCGCTGTGAGAGGTACGCACGGAGGGCGAGGCAAGACTGGGCTGGCGCTCCCGGGGGCAGTGGGGACACGGCAGGAACCTGCCCAGGGCCCGCTTGAAGTCCCGCATGAAGAGCGGGTAGATGATGGGGTTCATGGTGCTGTTGCAGTAACCCAGCCATGTGAGGACATCAAAGAGCCCCGGGGAGATGCAGTCGCACACGGCCTGGAGGGATGGGGCACGTCATGCCTGGTCCTGGAGGAGGGACGCAGGCCACCCCACCCAGCACGGATGGGACAGACACATAAACACATGGAGAGGCAGCCCGCCCTCCTCCCTCCCCAGGTCTGGACAGGGGTAGGGCTCAGGGCCTCTGCAACCAGGCGTGGACTCACCTGCCCCTTGTGGTAGCATTACCTGGGCTATGTTGACCACAAAGAAGGGCAGCCAGGTCACAAAGAACATGCCCAGCAGGATGCCCAGTGTCAGGCTGGCCTTCAAGGCCTTCCTGCTGTGCTTGGTGGCTAGACGCCTGCTGTCAGCCGACTCCACCCCGGGGCACGGGGTCCTGGGCACCTGAGGAAAGGAAAGCCACGTGATTTAGTGAAGAATGCACCCCAGCCTGACCCTATTCCCAGCCACAGACTGAGCCTTACTCCTAATTCTAGACTGAGCCCTAGTACCAGTATTAAACTGAGCCCTGACCCTTGAATGAGCTCCAATTGTAGTCCTAGACTGAGGCCTGACCCTGACTCCCGACTGAACCTTGATCTTGGCTTCAGACTGAGCCCTGACATCAGCAATAAGCCAAGCCCTACTCATGGCCCTGAACCCCTGATGCCTACCGTAGGTTGAGCCCTACATAAACAAGATCTCAAACTGAGCCTCAACCCCGGACCAGACTGAGCCCAATTTTAGCACCAGACTGAGCCCTGATTCCAGAAATAGACGGAGCCTTTGTCCTGGTCCTGCACCGAGCTATGACCCTGACCCAGCGCCTCACGAGGAGCTCTAGAAAGTACAGTGAGATTTCCTAGGTGCTGGGGCTCATGGTCATGTGTGTTGGCCAGTGTCAAATGTTGTCCTTTGCAAGGCGTGTGGGTCTTCTGAACTGTTGGATTTGTGTTTGGGGCAGTGTTGTCCTGCACTGCACTTTGGCACTACAAGAATTAGCCGCAATTGAACTGTACTTGACAAAAGAGGACAGTTGCTGTCCAGGGCTTGGCAATCTCTTTGCCTATGGATTCTCTTCGTATTTTGGAGTGATGGTTTTGTCTGCACCACTACTCCCAGACTCCACAAAATAAAGTGCATTTTTGAAAATATGTGCCCAAAACAAACGTGTACAATTAAATCTGTATAAATTACTAGGGATGCAAGCAACCTTGGCATTTTGCACACAGATTTCACTGTGGAGTGACAGACATCTCCATTCGCACACGTGGACTCCGTGAGCGGGAACCAGGGGAGAGGAGGAGGAAGAAGCTAGGAGCTGCTCCATGGGGAACACGGCACGAGGGGTTATAATGTGACTTTACAAGTGGGAGCGCAGGCGTCCCAAAACGTTCAAAAGGCTCTCTGATCCCAGATGACCCACTAGCCCAGAGGTTCTCTTAATTTTTTCAACTTTGTGAGTCCATTGAGACTCTAATGAAATCTACAAAACCACTCCTCAGAAAACAAAAGTCTTATAAAATTTTATAAATACACACACACACAGAGAAAAAAGTTCCCTCATGTCCAGAGGGTTCAGAGACCACTGTGAAGCCCATCCATGAAACCCCTAGGGGTCCATGAAAGCTGGAATGTGAAGCCCTCCTCTGAACCATGTATTGTAATCAATTTGGATTTTCATATATCAGCTTTCCACAAGGCAAGAGCCACCTATATTGACAATTTTTAAGTAAATACTGGTATGCAGAGGTGCGCACAATTTATTGAATTATGAAGGGGCATGTGGGCTGCCTGGGAATATACCTGGGCTTTGAAAGCCAGGGCTTTCCCCCCAACATTTCCTAAACTGCATGAGAGCCCAGCTTAGCTCTTGAGGCAACCAAAGATAGTTTGGGTATGGGAAGATGAAAGAGAAGGAGGCAGGAAGGGAACCAGATTCCCAGGCAGCCTTCACAGGTGAAAATGGGGTGGAGGAGGCAAAGGCAAGTTGTGTCAGCCCTTCGAGCACCAAAGCCGAACCCCCTACCCCATCCCCCTCCCAGCCCTTTTTCTCTCCCCGCCTCCTCAGGGTAGCCAGGCTTGGTTACTGTCCATGGTGCTGAAAACCCAGCTGCATCCCTACAAAATCTTTCTATAGGGTCTGGAATGGCAGTGGCAGGAGAGGGGAGACAGGCACACTGCAACTCCCACCCTTCGATGTGTTTCTCCAAGTGAAATCTGGTTAGACAAATATCAAAGACACCCAGAGCAGCCTAAAAGAGACCTTGATTTCTCCCCTCTGTCTTGGTGGGGCAGCATTGTGCAGAGGCAAGAGCTTGTTTTAAGACAAGTGATCTGGCTTCAAATCATGCCTCTACCACTTACTCGCCCTGTGATCTTGACAGTCTCTGTTTCCACATGTGTAAAATGGGAGAAAATACTCACCTTACGGAGTTGCTTTGAACCTGTGGATATACATGCATGCACAGTGCCTGACACAGAGTAAGTGTAAATACATAGCAGCCCTGATGTCGATTCAGCAGTATGAGTATGAGGTTGGGGGAGTTTTTAGCACCTTCAGGAGCCCTGTTTTTCTGCCAGCAGCTTGAGCTTTCCAAAGCAGCACAGATGTCAGGACAAATGCTCTGAGCCACTATGCTATAGCAAGGAAGAAAAAGAGGATCTGCTTTTCTCTCTCCTTCTCATTTTCTCTTCTCCAGAGTGAACTCTATATGGCTCCCGTGGGCCAACCTGTTCAACCTGGAGGGAGAGGCTCCTGCTTCCCCAAAAGAATCTCCTAGGATCTGCCGTGACTTTGAATTGCTGCCACCAGTGGGGACAGACATATGGGGAAGAGGGAGACACCGTCTCCAGAAAGCCCTAGACACACGGGTACCCCCTGGCCCCTGGAGACCTGGGGAGGGGGCAAAAGACAGCTGTGATCTTGCTAGAGCTCTAGGGCACTAGGGTACCAAGGCACTCAGGGAGACATTTTGGGGGCAGTCAGCAGGGGAGGATGATCCAGAAGGACTAACCATGATCTGAGAGTCCCTCTCCAGTCTTCCTAGGAACAAACCTGTACTTCTCTTTCTCCTCTTCTCCCCAAAAAGTTGACCCAAGAACACAAGCAAGAAGGAAGAGAGAAGGAATTGAGGCTCAGAGATGGTGGGGGAACCTTCCCAAGGTCACATTACGCCAGTACAAAGCCTCAAACAAAAGTACCAGTGACCCCAAATGATCATCTCCACTTACTGAGCACTTGCTATGTATCAGCAGTTGATGTTCATTCTGCCACTGAGTCTTTATGGGAGGAAGGTATTATAATCTCCATCTTGCAGATGAGGTTCAGAGAGGCAAAATAACTTTCCAGGAGTCACACAGCAGACAAGTGCTGAGTTAGGAATCAAAGTCATCTCTGGCTCCAGAAACTGCACTTCACCAGGCCGTTTCCATTTTGGAGGATGGCACCCCCAAGTAAAACCCCACCACTGTCACTGAGAGTCCCTCATGGAGCAGAAGCCAATGGCAACCGCCAGGCCACACTCTGGGTTCTGGCTGATGCCAGCCTCACCCTTCCCACTTCTCTCTGCCCTGTAGCCACCTCATGGCCCCGTGGCACGTTCTGTTATTTGCATGTCCCTTATACATGTCTGTGGCATTTGTCACTGTCAGAGGGCAGCTACTGGAGGACAATTTGGCAGTGCCCTTCCAGGAGGCAAGTCCGCTTACAGGTCCTTATGTCCATAAAAACCCGTACCTGTGTCTCTACACTTGGCTTGGACAAGAGTGTGTACCACAGCACCATTCGTGATAGGAAAAAAATTGGAAACAGCCCAAAAGTCCATCAAAAGGTGAGTGGTTAAATAAACCCCGGTACATTACCACTATAGAATGCAACACAGATGTTTGAAAGAATGAATTGATCAAATGGAAGGATCTCCACGACACATTATCAAGTGATAACGGCAATTTGTACAAACAAGAGATACAGCACGATTCCCTTTGTTTAAAAAAATACACAAAGCAAAGCACTAAGTTTCTTTAGGTACATAGACAAATATGGAAACACACAGAAAAAGAACCGGAAAGACATTGAGAGACGTAGGAGTGGGAGGTGATTGGATGAGGTCAGAGAGGTCTTTTATTTTATCGTTATTGATGAATTTTCATTTTAAAGTGTACTTACGTATTCCCTCGTGTAATTTCAAATATGTACGATCAACTAATCATAGTGTGAGGGTAATAGGATAGACCCTGGAGCCAGACTGCCTGGTTTAAATCATGGCTCTGTTACAAACTAGCTGAGTGAACTTAAGCAAGGTACTTTACCTCTCTATGCCTCAGCTTTCTCATCTGTAAAATGGCAATTACAATGGCATCTACCTCGTAGAGTTGTAGTAAGGGTTAAATAAGATAATAGCAAGTTACTTGAACAGTGCCTGGCACACAGTAAGTACCGTGTGATTGTTACCTTGTTGTTGTTTATTGTTATTTGTGTTCACCTCGGCTCCTTCATAGTGGTGACGAGGCTGCTCATGGCAGCGAGGGTGATCTTTCCCCCTAGAAAATCTCAAAGGGGTGAGCTCCCCCAGAACCGTGCATTTTTACCATCAAGAGGAAAGGATAGGAATTAACGTTTGTCAAGCACCTACTATGCGCCAGGTTTATATATATCATCTCATTGATTCTTCAAACAGCCTCAAATGATAAATAGCATTACCCCTGAGATAGACGGAGGTGAGTGACTCATCCAAAGTCATCCAGCTGCGACGGGAAAGAGGCAGGATTTGAACCCGTGCTCAGCCAGACACACAAGCTCCTGTGCCCTGCCCCAGCTGCACCAGGCAACCTCGTTCTGAGCAGCAGCAAAGGCTGTCATGCTCGGCTCTGCTCCTCTGCTCCTCTGCCTCCCACTCAGCCCCCTCCTCCCCCTCCAAGATATTTCTGTGATCACAGCCTCCTCTGAGGAGGAAGCAGAGATGGAAGGGAAGATGGATCACTAGGACAGAATGATGCACAGCTGGGGGATGGAGGGTGAAAAAGCTGGGGGAGGAGAAAAAGGAGGAGAAATTGAGGGAGAGAGGAAGATATGGGGTGCAGAAGGAAGGGATGGGTGAGCTAGAACGGAGGGAGGGGTTAGAGAAGGGGAAAAGATGTGGTGGAGAGGAAGAGGATAGGGAAAGGGTTTTGACCACAGACACACAGGAATTCTGGAGAGAGAGAAAGAGGCTAAGAACGCAGGAACTCCCAGCTGAGCCTCCCACTGCTGCTCCCCAGCAGGCTGAGCACCCACACTGGTCCCTCTGGAATCCCCCAAGGATGCGTCCCATCCCCACATGGGCACCCACTTTTCACACACACACACACACACACACACACACACACACACTCCTGCCCTGGTGGCATCTCACTCTGGCACCACCACCACCTCTCACACCCTTCTCTTCAACCCCAGCCCATATGCCCTGCCTGGCCTCTAAGCAGAACTCTTTCTTACAGCCCCTAGGGCTGGGAAGACCTGACTGAAACCACTGAGCCAACCAGTGGCTTTTTAAAAGGCCATTCACATCAATAGGCAGATGTGGTGGACGGAGGCATAGAAAGATGCTCCAGCCAGCTCAGCTCCCTTGTCCGAAACCCCTGAAGAGCCATGACTCCAGGGACTGGTGCCCAGCCCCCTTCCCTCTGTGGGGAAGCTAGAGGCTGGATTGGAGAAGGAGCTAAGGGTTCAGTGGGGCTGGAAAGAGGAGGAAAGGGGCCTAACACACCCCCAAGTTCTGTTCATTCTCATCAGTTCCTTTAGGTCCAGGCACTGAGAACGCCTCCGTCCCCAGGCTGGATGCTGCTGGACTCTGGGGCAGGCCAGCTTGGGTGGGGGAAGTGGGTCACAATCCAGGAGGCCAGAGTAGAGGCAGCATCCCAGAAGCAAATTCCCCAAATGCAGGCAATTCTCCAGGCAATAAGGAAAAATTGCCCTACAGAAGGCTTACTTAGGATCTGAGTGGGTTTGGAAGCAACGGCAATGGGAGAGTCTGACACTGTCTCATTCAAATAAAGAGAAAAGGCTTTCCAGAAAGTAGGAAGAATTTGCACAAACACGTTGCTGGCTTGAGAGGCTGCGGGTCATTCTGCCACAGCTAAATGACCCATGAAGACTCCTCCCAACCTTTGGTTTCGTGACTTCCTTGCTTCAGTTTGCAAACGTATGCACAGGGAGTAATAGACCCTGAATGTTTACTGGCGGAGGCACCCTTCTTCTAAGCTCCAGAGCCCTCATCATGATAGGGTTTCGTGATCAGTGTCTCTCTCTCCAGCTAGAAAGTAGATTCCAACAGGGCAGGATCTTCTCAGACCCACTCATCCCTGCAACCACAGCACAAGGGAGGTACTCAACACAGTACCAAGGAAGTGAATCAACGTACTAAAAAGTGCAGGATTCATCAGCTACAAGAACTGCTTCTAAAAGTGGGAGAAAAGGGAGAGATGTGAGCTGGGATTGAACCCCTGGCTCTGTGAAGCACTGTTGTTCATTTCATTTCTCTCGTCACTGTGCACTGACCACTCACGACACGCCAGGCACTGTTCTAAGTTCTGGGAATATAGCAATCGAGACAAGTCCTCACCCTCATAGAACTTACATTCCAGTAGGAGGAAATAAACAGTCAAACAGTAAATGGGAAAGTATATAACATGTCAGGCGGTGGTATTTGTTGCTGAGAATAACTTAGGAAATTAGGACTGGATGGGATCTGGACAAGTATGGCCGTTACTACTTTTGACGAAGTGATTAGGGAAGACAGCCAAGCAGAGGACAGAAGAAAGTGATGGAAGTTAGGGGGAGAACCATGCGGAGATGTGAGGAAACGGCACTTCAGGCAGGGGGAGCAGCAAGTGCAAAGGTCCTGAGGCAGAAGTGTGCTTGGTATGCTCAAGGAATAACAAGGGGGCCAGGGGAACTGAAATAGAAGGAGTGTGGAGGGTGGTGGAAGGAAAGGAGGCCAGAGAAGGAGCAGAGGAATGACATAACAGGGCCTGCATTTTTTTCTTTTTTTTTTGGCCATGCCTCACAGCTTGCGGTAGAAGTGCCAAGTCCTAACCACTGGACCGCCAGGGAATTCCCAGGACCTGCATTTTAAAGGGATCGCTGTGGCTGCTGTGTAAGATCAAAAGGGAGCAAGGATGGGCTTAGGAAGCCAGTGGGTGATCACTGCAATAATCCAGGCATCAGAAGCCCAGGGGACCAAGGGAGGCAACCGAGACATGAGAAGTGTCTTGAAAGCAGAAAGCATGCTGGGTGAGCAGTGTGAGAAAAAGAGAGGCATCCAGGCTGCCTCCAAGGTTCCTGGCCTGAGCAACTCATATTAGTTAGTCGACATGAGGAAGATAAGGGAGAGACTACGTCTGGAGCCTGGAAAATCCGGAGTTCTGTTGCAGGCAGTGGTAAGTAAGTGGCCCAGGCTGGAAGTCATCAGTGGGTAGGTGGCACTTCTGGTCATGGCACGAGACCAGCTCACTGAGTGAATGTGGGAAAAGAGCAAGGAAGTCAGAGGACTGAGGCCGGGTGATACCTCGGATGGTGGAGAAGCAGGAGGACCCAGTAGAGGAGACTGAGAAGGCACAGCCGGTGGCGTGGAGGGTCTCACACCGGGTGGCGTCCCTGAGGTCAATGTTTTAAGAGCATGTCACTGCCCACAGGCAGCACGACGCTCAGATCCAGGCGTTGGCATCAGCCAGACCTGAGCTGGAACCTCACTAACCAGCTGTGCAACCCTGGGCGTCACCGGTCCTCGGTTTCCCCAGATGTCAATCAGGGATGATAATTATTTGCCCCGTTGGGTGTTCGGGGGATCCACTTAGCTCAGTGCCCGGCAGGTAGAGAGCGCTCAAAGGCTGTGGAGCTGCAGCTGTTAGCACTCGGGGGACACCTGCCCAGGTGCTGAGGCCACAGTCTCAGGTACAATCCTGGCCAGTTAGCTTCATGCAAAGAAAATCTATGCATCACAGACGCTGCTGGAACCGAGAATCCAGACCGAGGCCGGCCAACTTCTCACCTCCTTAGTCACTGGGGCAGAGCTCCCCAGAGTGTGAGAGTTGGAGGTGCCCTTGAGTGGCAAATGGACACCCTATAAAATAACTGAGTCACAGAGTGGAAGCATAGGCCTTTACAGCTCCCTCCCAGCTCTTCCGGTTACATCAAGAGAAAGTCTCTGTCAGTGGTACTGTGTCTTTAACATCCCTCCAACGTCTAACAAAGAGAAAGCCGGCCTCAGGCTCAGCATCTCCAGCCACATCCAAGCTGGGCTTTAGTAACACTGCTGGTGCTTCTGCAGCCTCAGTGAGGTTGTGTTCGTGATCACCTTCTATTTATGGCCGGGAGACTGACTGTCCGTTTCCGGAAGAGAAAAGAAGTTTTCTTTCTAAATAAGTTCATGGAAGTAAGAAGATAAATGAGATGTCTCCAAGGAAATGCTAAGTACATACGGATGCAGAGCCTTGAGGCATGTGTGAGGGTGGGTGGAGGGGTAGCAAGGCAGATACCACAAGGCAGTTCTCCAACGCCTGACGTCTGGGAAACGCTCCTTTACAGGAACCCAGGGAGAGAGATGGATGGCCCAGGGCAGCTGCCCTACAGCTGCAGAACCGAGTCAGGGTCACAGCCACCTGGTGAGACTCAAGAACGTTCTCCAGTGAGCACAGATGGGGGAGAGAGCAGGGCCGCAGCCAGGACTTCCTGTCCACCCAAGACCCTGTCCTCCTACTTGATGGGCCTCACTGCTGGGATGACACGGGTAAGCCGCTCTGCGGGGGCTGCTGACCAGGGTGTTGGCCTCTCAGCCCCCATCTATCCAGTGACCCCCCTACCCAAGGTACCTCCCATCCTGCAGGCACCTCCTCCACCTGAGGCTACACCAAGATGACACTGGAGAGCCCATCTGGGATCTTCTTGGGGGCCTGTGACCTAATTCTCTAGGGCTCAGGCCTGATCAGTCTAAAGTCCCATCCCTTGGCGTGAACAATAAGACTCGGGTACCGTGTGACCCACTCCACTCTAGGCACTGCAGATCTTGAGCAAAGAGCGCCGACCCCATTCACAGGTAACCAGTGAGCACCTACTATACACAGTGGAGATCAAAACTCACTCAGATACACCCAGCCCTCGTGGGAGCTTACACTTCAGTGGGGGAGACAATGAACAGAGCAACAAATAAACTGGGTATCGGGATCAAGAATAAAAGGGTGGGGGAGGGCAGGGAGGTCTGCAGACAGTGTGGTCAGGGAGGGCCTCTGGGAAGGGGTGACCTGTGAGCTGAAGAAGAGTCTCAGTCAGGCAAGGGCGGCTCCAGGGGAAGAACATTCCAGGCAGAGGGCACAGCCAGTGCAAAGACCTGGGCACAGAGTCAGTCTGGTGCCTACTAGGAGTGTCAGTAGGGCCACAGGACTGCTGCAGAGAAAGGGGCAGGGAAGGGAAGAGGTGCAGCTGGGGGGGTGGTCAGGACCGGATCCCGAGGCCAGATCCTGACACAGGTCTCCCCTTTATCTTGAGAGCAATGGGGAGCCACTGAAGGGTTTGTAGCAAGGGGGTGAGGTGATCACGCTTCTGCTTTTGTTTGTGCAGAAAATGGATAGGAGGGGGTCTGGCGTGGAGGCAGGGGGAGCCAGCAGGAGACTATCAAAGGCTCCCAGGTAAGAAGCAATGGCGGCCTGGATCAGGAAGGTGGCATTGGAGGTGACACATGTTTAGAGGCAGCACCAACAGGCCTTGCAGATGAATCCCATGAGCATGAGGGAGAGAAATTGTTCCTAAGTTTCTGGAGTGCGATGCCATGATGGTGCCATTTGCCACGATGGGGACGACGGGGGGACGAGCAGGTGGGGAGAGTTGGGACCCCCTGAATTCCCTGTTGCACATGTTACCTTCGAGAAGACTGCCCCACATCCTGGAGCGTCCTGTGGACAGCTGGACATTGAGTCTGGAGTTCAGAAGGAAGGTGGGAACTGGGAATGACCAATCGGAGGTCGTCAGCAATTGTATATTACATGGCGGATGCCTAGTGGGCACCCAATGGCTGCTCATTCTTCTCCATCCCACAAGCCCGGGTCTCCCTGCGCGCCCCGGGTACCTGCAGCGTCTCCAAGGCCTGGACGGCCATGCCGGTGGTGAGGGAGGCCACCTGCACGGCCTGCTTGCGGGCGGCCAGCAGGATCCTGCAGTAGGTGAAGCAGATGGCGCCCGAGGGCAGGAAGAAGGTGAGGCCCGACGCCACCAGGACGAAGGGCAGGCTGGCCAGCAGGCGGCACTGGCCCGGGGCGGGCGCCCGCGCGCGGCCCAACTCGTGCCATCCCAGCAGCAGGGGCAGGAAGGAGGCGAGCGCGGCCAGGCCCCAGGCGCTCAGGACCAGCGCCAGAGCGCGCGGGGGCGTCATGCGCAGCTTGTAGCGCAGCGGCGAGAGGATGAGCAGGTAGCGGTCCAGGCTGATCAGACAGAGGTTGAGGATGGAGGCGCTGCAGCACATCACGTCGAAGGCGGCCCAGAGCAGGCAGAGGCCCCGCGCCAGCACCCAGCGCCCGTACAACGCATTCAGCATGGCCGGCGGCATCACCACCAGCCCCACCATCAGGTCCGACGTGAAGAGCGACACCAGGAAGAAGTTGGACGTGTTGCGCAGCGTGGGCTGCGTGCAGATAAGCGCGATGAGCAGCGAGTTGGCCGCCGCCGTCAGCGTGATGACCACACACAGCGCGGCCGCCACCCAGCCGCTGCCCCCCGGCTCCGATGGCGGCCCCGACTCCCAGTCCAGGGTGCTGTTGTTGGCGGGGCCCTGCTCTGGGACCATGAGGGCGGAGGGCGAGGACATGAGGCCCGAAAGGGGTCCGGAGGACTAGGTAGGGTGGGCGGGAAGACGGAGAGAGGGACCTGCAGGTGCAGAGGCTGGATGGGCGTAGTCGGTGAGAACAGACCACCCCCCGGGGCCGCAGGTGGGAAGGTATGAATGGGGCTCTGGGTCAAGGGCCAGCAACCCGAGGAGGATGGAGAGGGGGCCTTTGGGCGTCCTCGGGTGTGATGTAGGGACACCTGGAGCAAACCGGTAAGAAGTCTGGGAGGAGGCACCTGTTGAGCTGAGCCCTCCAGAAGGAGCGGGCCGAAAGTCAGGAGGACCGGGACGCTGACTCTGGGAGCGTTTGGCCGGGTGGGAGCAGAGCCCCTAGAGGGGACGGGCGGTAAGATGGGTCGAGGGCAGGGACCCAGGGAGGTGGGAACCCAGGGCGAGTGGGCGCTATCCAGGCCGCCCCGCGGCAGGTGGGCGTAGTGGGGGTGAGCCAGGTGGGGAGCCGTGGTGCTGGGGGTTGCAGGGTGGGGGGGTCCACGCGCCAGAGCAAAGCCCCTGGCGGGGAAGGCAGGTCTCAGAGCCAGCGCAGAGGCACCCCGAGCTCGGGCGGACACGGTCCCCGCAGCGAGAGGGAGGATGCCGGGCCGGCCCGCAGGGAGAGAGAAGGAGCCGCGGACGCGCCTCCGCCCCTTCTCCGCCCGGCCGCGGGTCGCCGGCCCCGCTCCCTCCCGCGCTCGGTACCTGGGGCGCTGAGCGCTGCTCCGCCGCCGGCGACTGCGGCAGGAGCCTCGGGGCCAGGAGAGGAAAAAGCGGCCGCGGGCCGGGCAGGCGCCCAGGGACCGGGAGACTCCGCGAGGGGCCGGCGCGCACGGAAGAGCGGTGGCTGCTTCCAGGAGCGCGCTGTCCCCGCGCCGCGGAGCCTGCGCCCAGCCCCGCGGTGGGCGGGGAGAGCCGAGCCCAGGACTAGTAGGCGGGCGGGCTTCCTGGTACCCCCAGGTTTGCAGAGGGATGACCCGAGCATTCCGGCTGCGCCAGGTCGCCTCCCAGCTCTAGCAGCCTCCACCCCCCGCATGCCCCTCCCCACCCACACGGGGCGCAGGAGGATCTCAGAGGAGGAGGCTGTGGCCCGCCTTCACCCAGGGCTGCTCCCCATTGTGGGGCTGCCTACCCGCTACCAGGGGGAGCCCGCTGGGAGGTATTGGGCAGATCGCTTGACATATATGTACACATATATAATACTACACACACGTACATATCTATTGTATATAATATGCCATAGCCTATATAATACGTCCTTCAAACCTTTAAACAGATGGCTACCTCCCCCTCACAATCCTTCCGAGCAGAAACCATCCTGCCCCCTGACAGCTCCAGGTGCTAAGGACGAAGACCCCGAGGTGCTGGCACTCCCAGTGTACCCAAGAGTGGGAACAGATTGGGGGATCCCCTGGCCAGGTGGGGTGGAGCCACTGCAGGTAGAGGGGTGGGGCGGGGCACACCCTGTGCAACGCTGCTGTGTATTCCACCCACCCCCAACCAGAACTAAGAAGGGTCTCTGCCTGACATGTCACAGTTTGATATCGTGGATTCAACAAACATTTATACTGAGCACCTACGAGGTGTCAGGCACTGTTTTGCCCAACCTGGACACTACAGTAACCAAAACAAAGATCCGACTTCATTGAACTTACAGCCTATAGGAAGGAGACATACAATAATAAGCATAATAAACGTCTCAAGTAGTCATAGAGTGATACTTGCTATAGCAAAAAAGGAAATGGAGAGGAATGTAAAGGGGATCTAGGGTAGAACGGGGTCCCCTCCACAGGAGCAGGAAAATAGTACCTCCCATGTTTAAGGTTCCTGCTGTATTCCAGGAACTTTATTCTATACTATTCCTACCAATACACTAATGCTAAGAGGTAGGTGTTAAACCGGGGCTCAGAGAGGCCGAGGGCCTCCCCCAAGGCCACCAGCAGCTAGTGATCAAGTGGAAGTGAAACTCGGGTCTGCCCAGTGATGCCCAAGGCAGAGGATCTTCAAGACCCTGCACACCCCCATGCTCCCCCCAAACCACTATTTGGCACCCAGAATCCCAGCCCTGCCTGCAGATGGGTCTGTGCAGCAGGAGGAGGACTGTTCTCCCTCCCAACGCCACCTGCACCACTGTGACAATTTCTGTCGTGCCTCAAGGAACAGGATACCAAGCACTTGGGCAGAGAACCAGAAAGATCAGACTTGGGATCCCAGCTCCACTGCTAACCAGCTCTGTGGACTTAGGGTTGGCGACTCCATCTCCTTGGGCCACTGTTTTCTCCTCTGCAATAACGAGCAGAACAATACAGCACCCACTTACAGGGTTGTTGGTGTCACCTGTAAATTTTACAGTGCTGTGTCAATGCTGGCTATTGGCCTCAACGTTCCCATCTGTACAATGGGAATGCATTCAGCTCTTCAGTAACTCCTTCAGCCCAGGGATTTTTGATGTGAGCAACAGCAAAACTGAGAAGTGCTGTGTGGAACACACTTTGGAGCCCAGTGACCTGGGTTTATAATCCTGATTCTGCTACTTGCTCTGTGACCTTGGCAAAGCCTCTTCATTTCTCTGCTGCTATGAAACTGGGGTAGTGGAGATATACATGGGGCGAGTATTTAAACCATTTTGCACAGAGGAGGTGGCTGATAAATTTTAGCTTTGTGAAAATTAAAAGTATATAGTGAAATAGAATATTAGTCCCTCTGCTTTAGCTCTTTCAGTTTGATTCCTTTATTTAAAACACAAAAAACTAGGGAGAGGGAGAGGGATGGACTGGGAGTTTGGGGTTGGTAGATGCAAACTATTACATTTAGAATGGATAAACAACAAGGCCCTAATGTATAGCACAGGGAACTATATTCAATATCCTGTGATAAACCCTGATGGAAAAGAATATAAAAAAAGAATGTCTATATGTGTATAACTGAATCACTTTGCTGCACAGCAGAGATTGGCACAGCATTGTAAATCAACTACACTTCAATAATAAAATTAAATAGAATAGAATAGAATAATTTTTTTAAATCTAGGGAATTCCCTGGCAGTCCAGTGGTTAGGACTCGGCACTTTCACTTCTGGGGCTGGGTTCGATCCCTGGTCGGGGATCCAAGATCCCAGCAAGCCTCACGTCGTGGCCAAAAAAAAAACTAAAGAAAACATGACCAAAAATGTTAGCATTTGTTCATTATTTTTGATAGATTAACAAATGCTTGTTATATTATGAGCTGTACTTTGCTATAACCAACACCAAACACTCCCATTTACCATTGCAACTAAAAGAATAAAATACCTAGGAATAAACCTACCTAGGGAGACAAAAGACCTGTACGCCGAAAACTATAAGACACTGATGAAAGAAATTAAAGATGATACAAATGGGTGGAGAGATATACCATGTTCTTGGATTGGAAGAATCAATATTGTGAAAATGACTATACTACCCAAAGCAATCTACAGATTCAATGCAATCCCTATCAAATTACCAATGGCATTTTTTACAGAACTAGAACAAAAAATCTTAAAATTTGTATGGAGACACAAAAGACCCCAAATAGCCAAAGCATTCTTGAGGGAAAAAAACAGACCTGGAGGAATCAGGCTCCCAGACTTCAGACTATACTACAAAGCTACAGTAAACAAGACAATATGGTATTGGCACAAAAACAGAAATATAGACCAATGGTAGAGGATAGAAAGCCCAGAGATAAACCCACGCACCTATGGTCACCTAACCAATGACAAAGGAGGCAAGGATATCCAATGGAGAAAAGACAGTCTCTTCAATAAGTGGTGCTGGGAGAACTGGACAGCTACATGTAAAAGAATGAAATTAGAACACTCCCTAACACCATACACAAAAATAAACTCAAAATGGATTAGAGACCTAAATGTAAGACCAGACACTATAAAACTCTTAGAGGAAAACATAGGAAGAACACTCTTTGACATAAATCACAGCAAGATCTTTTTTGATCCACCTCCTAGAGTAATGGAAATAAAAACAAACATAAACAAATGGGACCTAATGAAACTTTTGCACAGCAAAGGAAACTACAAACAAGACGAAAAGACAACCCTCAGAATGGGAGAAAATGTTTGCAAACGAATCAACGGACAAAGGATTAAGCTCCAAAATATATAAACAGCTCATGCAGCTCAATATTAAAAAAACAAACAACCCAATCCAAAATTGGGCAGAACACCTAAATAGACACTTCTCCAAAGAAGACATACAGATGGCCAAGAAGCACATGAAAGGCTGTCCAACATCACTAATTATTAGAGAAGTGCAAATCAAAACTACAATGAGGTATCACCTCACACCAGTTAGAATGGGCATCAACAGAAAATCTACAAACAACAAATGCTGGAGAGGGTGTTGGAGAAAAGGGAACCCTCTTACACTGTTGGTGGGAATGTAAATTAATACAGCCACTATGGGGAACAGTATGGAGGTTCCTTAAAAAACTAAAAATAGAATTACCATATGACCCAGCAATCCCACTCCTGGGCATATACCCAGAAAAAACCATAATTCAAAAAGACACATGCACCCCAATGTTCATTGCAGCGCTATTTACAATAGCCAGGACATGGAAGCACCCTAAATGCCCATCGACAGATGAATGGATAAAGAAGATGTGGTATATATATACAATGGAATATTACTCAACCATAAAAAGGAATGAAATTGGGTCATTTGTAGAGGCGTGGATGGATCTAGAGACTGTCATACAGAGTGAAGTTAAGTCAGAAAGAGAAAAACAAATATCGTATGTTAACGCATATATGTGGAACCTAGGAAAATGGTACAGATGAACCGGTTTGCAGGGCAGAAATAGAGACACAGATGTAGAGAACAAACGTATGGACACCAAGGAGGGGAAAGTGGCAGGGGGGCGTGGGGGGAGGTGGTGTGATGAATTGGGAGATTGGGATTGACATGTATACACTAACACGTATAAAATGGATAACTAATAAGAACCTGCTGTATAAAATAATAAATAAAATTCAAAAAAATAATTTTTCAAGACTGGGCCTGGGTGGTGGTGCCACCTTGTGGCCACAGTTATTATCTTGAATTTAAGAACTTCAGAAGTTCTGCGTACGCACCTGAATTTGTCATTTCACTCATGGAATAATACAGTCTTGAATGTCCTTAACATTTCAGGGTAGAGAGGGACCTTCAAGGATGCTCAGCGTTTTATTACTTCTAGCCACAGGGTGCTCCCTCCCTAGAGGAGAAGGCTTGAGTCTTAGGAAGTCCTCTGTCCCAGATCTCCATGCCTGTCAGTACATAGGGGACCAAGGAGAGCTGCTCATGACAGAGATGGAGAAACCAAGGTCCAGGGAGGTTGTGAGGTCTGCTCAGAGCTGCTCTCGCAGGAGGCATTAACCAACTGGTTAACTGAGGGCAGGGATTTGTCTGCTTTGTTCACTGTTGTATCCTCAGCACATATTAGGTTGCCATAAATATATGTTCAATGAATTAATGAAGAAAACAATCAGCCCAACCACCAGCAGTTGTGGGCCAATCATTTACTCCCAATAATTATTATTATAATGGCTGACATTCATTGAGGTTCTATTATATGCCAGGCACTGTTCTAAGCTCTACATGTACATTGATTCATTCCCACGACCCTGGGAATGAGGCGGTGCGATCATTATTCCCCAACTTACTAATGGGAAAACTGAGCCTCAGAGATCTTAAGTGACCTGCTCAAGATCACACAGCTAGGAAGTAGCCCTGTCAGGATTTGAACCCAGGCAGACAGGATTCTCCCAGAGGCTCCGAGCATGGGAGGAAAACTAGATGGGAGTTATTGGCTCTATATAGGCAAACAAGGAGGGGAAGCCGGTACTAATTACCCGCCCATCCGGAGAGGGGCCGGCGTGGACAGTGCTGCATCAGTGTTTATCCCTTGTAAAGATTTTCAATCCCGCCACCCTTGCGGGGATTGGAGAGAATGGTGGAGGGGGACCTTCAATTCTTCTTCTGAGCTGTCTTGGTGGTTCAGTTTGAGGTTGGAGAAGAGAAAAATTGGTCGTCACTAATCCACATCTCACTCCCGTTGGCAAACTGGCACAATTAGAGATGCTTCTCTGTTCTCGCAGATCTGGCTCTTCCCACTCGCTGCTCCCACATCCAATCAGCAGCGCCTCTCCTGTGTGGCCCCGCCTCTTTACCATGGCCCTGCCTCCCTAGGCCTCCCCCGCCCCCCCCCAATTCTGGTCTCCATCACCTCCTGCTTGGACTACTGCAGTCTCCAGCCGGTCTCCAGCCTCCCCCTCCTCCTCCCCCCACAAGACTCCTTTTCGTCTCGCTGGAACCCAGTTCTGTGCAGACACCTCCAGGGCTCTTACTGCGATGTGAGTGAAGTCTGAACTCTGGCTAGCACACCACGCCTGCCACCAGCCGTGCCAACCCACCTGCCTCCCTCCTTTTCAACCAGCTCTTATTAATTTCTTTACATATCTATCCATTTATACCCCACCTTGTTCCATACACAGGAAGAAGGCAGCTCCTGACCAAGACTCATCCTGCCAAGTTGATGCTCAGGTCTCAGAGGCCTAGTACCAAGGACACCACCCCAGGAAGTCCTTCATTTGGACCTGGTCTCTGAGTACTTTCTCTGTGCCCTCCAGTCAGTCCCCACCTCCAGCTGTATAGAAGGACTGTTAATATGGCCAGGGCTTATCCCTGCCTGACTGAGAGGTCACTGGGGTCTGCGTGCAGGAGAGATATACTTTTCTCCAACCCAATTCCACATCGAAGGACACAGGACCACCCTGGATAGTTGTGTCCTGCACGACCGCAAGAAGCGCCATTCTGTAGTTGGGAAGTACACAACCTACACAACTGTACAGAGCCGCCATGAAGGGAAGGCTTGGTACCCGGAGGAAATCGTGTGTGTAGTACACAACTGTTATCATTAGAGGGCGCTAGACTGGAATCCGCGCGCGCCGCTGCCTCCCAGCCTGGGGGAATCACTCCCAGGGCACAAAGGCCTCAGTTCACATTTGCAAAATGAAGATGCTCCGTGGATTAGAAACAGTATCTATAAATTGCCTGGTATCGGTGATCACAGCAATGTGTGCAAGGAAGGAGAGTCATAGCTCTCACCCATCCCACAGCCCCGTCTCAATGGAGAATCTGGGGAGCCCCGAGCTCAGCTGCATGCAGGTGATGATCTCAAACCCATAGGGTCATCGTGAAGGGGAAGGGACTCCACAGTTGTCAAGCACCCAGCCCCGCACATAGTAGGTGGTCAGCAAATGGCAGTTACTAAGGTTATACCAAGAAGACTGATTCAGCCAGACTGCCTGGGTTCAAGTCCTACTGGAGACATTTCTCAACCCTGGGCAAATTACTTCATCCCGCTGTACTTCAGGGGCCTCCTCTGTAAAACAAGGGCAGTATTTGCATCGCAGGGTGGTGGTGAGGATTCAGCGAGTTAACTGATATAAAGTACTTAGTACAGCCCCCCACATCCTATATCCATTTGTAACCATTAGCTTTTGTCTGTTTCCCCTTCTCCAGAGGCCAAGCCAGCTGGAGAGCAGGGAAGGGCCGATGCAGAGTCACCGTGAGGGTGAAGAGGCGTCATGGGCCTAAGGGATCAAAGGTCAAAGACAGAAAAGGGGTTCTGGAGGCCCAACCAACGTATATGCGAGGCCAGAAACAGCCAAGGACGGAGGCAGGAGGTGGGGAGCCAGGAGCCGGCGGGGGGCACATCATGGCGGGAAGGTGAGGGCCACCAGGATGCGGGGAGGGGTGCTCAGGGCTCCATGTGCGTGCAGCCTGACTCCCGCCCCTTGGGGAGCCCTGAGTCAGCAGGGCTGCCCTGTGAGGAAGAGAACACAGGTGTTGAACGAATTTATTCATGAGAAAACTCGGGGTCCATCCTACTGGTTACAAGCTCCAGAAGCTCTTGTCGGAATAGCCGTGAGGGCCGGGGCACCCCCAGGCAGGGGGCTGGTGGGGCTGGCAGCAGCCCTGGGACAGAAGAGCAGACGCAGGCAGCTGTGGGTACTGAGGGGCGTTCTTCCCTGCCCGCCTGGCCAGCCCCCACCCCGGGGCCCCGCACCCCCTCTAGGGCTAAAGTGCGGCTGCGAGGAGTGGGGGGAGGGGACTAGGCAGCTGCAGAGCCACAGTGAACACAGCCGCCCCACGCGCCCTCACCCCTCCTCTTCCTCGTTCCTTGAGGCTCATCCAGAATCCATCCCACCCAGGTCCCTCCTGGGAACCTCTGGGTAAGGGAGACCCCTCCCCAGCATCCGATATTCAGAAAGAGCTTCCCAAGAGGGTGAGGCTGGCTCCATCAGCTTTGAGGGGCCTAGAACCTGGGGGGCAGGGAGAGGCACTAAGATCTGGGAGAGGGCGAGGAGGGAAGGATGCCCTCTGGTCGAGGGCGTCATCCCCTCCCCCTGGCCCAGCAAGGCTCCTCCTCCCCTGCCTTCCCCCCCCCCCCCGCACCCCCGAAAGCCAAGGCAGGCAGGGAGCCTGGCTCCCAGCTCCAGGGCCGGGAGGCAGCAGGGTCCTGCCCAGGCCTGACTCCCAACCATGCCACTGAGGGAGGGCCACCGGGGAGAAGCTGCCCTGGGGACGGGGGTGCGAGGCCTTTGGGGAAGCCGGTGGGGCTGGAGCGTCCTGCTTCTTTCTGCCAGTGGTCTTCCTAGCCCTGCCTCAGGGCTGCCACTGGCAAGGCGCCCAACCTCAGCTCAGGGCCCGGCGCCACCATCTGCACCCCCAGGGCCCTGCCCCACCGAGGGGCCGTGCGGGCCTTGGCGCGTCTTGGACGGCCTCACCCCAACTCAGCAGCTTAGCCAACTATCCCCCCTCCCCAGGGCACATGTCTAGGAGGCAGAAAAGAAGAGAACCCCCCTCCGATAAAGAACCCTGAAGACCTCTGCTTCTTCCCCCCAACTCGTGAATATATTAAATTGTGCAGCTTGGCGCCAGTCCCACCCCCTTCAGATCTCCGTGGCAACCGGGAAGCATTCCAAGTCCAAGTCTGAATCCAAGTCCATCCAGTGCCAAAGGGGGGCTTCAGCCTCTCCCCCAACTCTTCCCCGGGAGGGTGAGACCCCACATTCCACAGGGAACGAGAGGGGAGGAAGAGTCGGGGGCCTCAGTCCTCAGCCCCCTCTTCCTCTGCATGGGGGACCCCAGGGGGATCCTCGGGCTCGGGGGGCTGCCCGCCAGGGTGCGGGTGGGAGTGGAGGCCGGGCTGGGAGCCCTGCGCATCCTCGCCCTGCACATAGACGCTCAGCCCCTCGTGACTGGGCTCCTTGCCGCATGCCTGGCAGCTGCAGTGCAGGATCTTTTCCACCAGCTTGTCCACCCTGGGCACCTCCTCATGGCCAGGGCACTCCAAGGTCACCTGCGGAGGGCAGGAGAGAAGGGGAGAGAGGTTTCCAAGGGCCTGGAGCTGGCAGGAAGGCCCCAAGGGTAACACTCCTCATGGGACCAAGAATCCCAGAGACCCCAGAAGCCTGAGGCCACCTGGGACACCTGGGCCCGTCCAGGGGGAGGGGGGTGAGTCCCTGCAGGAGCCACCTGACCTGTCTCCTCACGTCCTGCCACTTTCCTGCCCATCCCCACAGTAGCCAGAGGGCACCTTGAGGGGACCCAAGTGGTCCGCCCCTGCCTGAAATTCCCCCCACCAGGGCTCCCACTGCTCTCGCAGAAAAACCGACTCCTGACTCAGGCCACCCAGGACCTTGAGGTTGACCCCCAGAGGACCTCTCTCTCCACCCCTGACCTTGCCCCATTCCCGCCAACTCTGTCCTGCCTGATCTGCCTGAGACTTTGCACATGCCATTCCCTCTGCCTAGGAGGTCCTTGCCCCACCCGTCCCCTCCCCACCGCCCTAGACTTTGCCCACTTAACTTCTACTCAACCTTTGGACCCGAGCCCAGACATCACTTCCTCAGCGAGCTCCTCCCAACACCCCCCCACACCCCACCCAGCCAAGGCTCGCCCTGTACGAGCCCCGTGAGTGTTCACTCTTCCCCTGTTGTCGCGCCACTAGCTGCCCTTTCTTTTTCCTTTCCTTCCTCCTTGTCTCTCCCTCCCTCCTTCCACAGGGCACCTTCTCCGTGCCAGCTCTGGGGACACAAGGACAGGCATGGTCCTTCAAGGAACTCAGAGTCTAGCAGAGGAAACAGACTTGTCAAAATCACCCAAATGCAGATGAAAAACTGTGCGTGTGACAGATGCTCAAAGCAGAAGTACACAGTGCCTGGGGGATCAGGAAAGGGGTTCTGAGAAAATGATGCCTGAGCCAAGCGCAGAGGAATGACTAGAATTTAACTAGGGGGGGAGGAGGAGAAAGGTAAGCCAAACAGGGAAAAGAGCATGTGCAAAGGCCCTGCAGTGGTCGTAAGCGGACAAGATAAGAGAGACTGAAAGGAGGCGGGATTGGTGTCAGGGTCAAGCTAGTGAAGAAGGTGAGAGGGGCAAGATGAAGCTAGAAAGCCTGGTGAGCCAGACCACGCCTTGTGGACAGGCCTTACGGGGTCTGGCAAAGATTTTGGTCTCATCCTATAACAATGGGAAGCCACCGAAAGGATTTCACCATGTGACTGACATCAGAACAGAGCTTCTTGTCCTGTACATGCTGGTGTCGGACTTGTGAGCCATCACGTGACAAGGACCATGTCTGTATCTCCAGCACGAGGCTCGAACCCTGCACACAGTGGGGCCTCACTAAGCACTTGTGGCCCAGACCGGTGCCGGCTCTGGGCGGAAGCTGGGCGGGAGCGGGCAGCCGTACTCACGATCTCCCACATGGACTGGGCCGGCATGCACGAGTCGCAGTGCACCAGGGACTCTGTAGACTGCGGGAAGGTATTGGGAACGCTGTAGCTGAAGCACTGTCCCAGGCACGCCCTGCGGGAGGAGAGCCCACCGCGTCCGTGTCACCACGGTGGAGGAAAGAATGGGCAGCCCTGTCCTCTTCCTCCCTCCTGGGCCCGTGTCCTCATCCCTTCCACCCACCACCCCGGGATCCCACCTGTTCTGGATGGACTTGGCCTCACAGCCGCTGTGGCCCACGATCTGGGTGATGTTCTTGGCCTCGCACCAGGCGCTCTTATCCGGGAACAGTGCCAGCTTGTTGATGGGCGGTGGAGCAGCCAGCAGCACGGCGGGGAGGAGAGCCCCCACCAGGACCCGAAGCATCGTGCCCGTGACCTTTGGAGCCCTTGAACTGAGTACAGACTGCAGGTGAGGCCAGCAGGGTCCAGGAGGCTGGGCAGAGGGCAGGGGGGCAGTGGTGTTACAGCGTGGCTCTGACTGCCTGGGTTTAAATCCTACCTCTGCCACTTACCAGCCAAGCACAATCTTGGACAAGTTATTTCTCCTGTATGAACCTCAAAACTGGGGCTGCTAATAGTACGAGCATCAGATGGAGATTAAACAAGGTATTTCATGAAAAGCCCTGAGTGGAGAGACTAGCGGATCATGCACATCCCACACGTGTTAGTTATCTTTATAACTTACTTTGTAGCTTTGAGCAAGTTACTTTTTATCTCTGTGCCTCACTTGCTTCATCTAAAGGGGGATGGTGATGCTGTGTGTGGCAATGATTATTGCAAGTACTAAGCCAGACACTCAGTTTCCAAGCACCCCGTTGAGTATTGAGCAATCATTAGCTCCCTCCTCACTGTGATGTTGTGGGTCCTTGAGGGGCTGGCCAGCCAGCAGGTCTCCTGGACATGCTGCCACGGTTGTCAGCAAAGCTAACCATCTTCATGTCACTGTGAATTCTTGTGCCACCTTGGATGCGTGGACCTCAGGTGAAAAAACTAACCCCAAACTAGACTGTACTTCTCGTTTGGATGCCCCATCAGAGCCCCAAGCCCTGAGTCTACACACACATCACTATCTCCAGCTCCAACCTCACACCTGAGTCAAACAAGAGGCGAGGCAATCCAAGCCCAGGGCTTGACCCTCTGTGAATTGGATGGAGCGAGGCACTAATAAGGCAATACCAGAATCTGCCAGGAGATGGCGGTGCAGGGCAGAATGTGTGTCGCAAGCATGGACTCAAAGGGGATTTTCCCAATGTTCCCCAACTTCATCTTCTGTAGGTTTCGCCCACTCTCCCACTGCAAGAACTGTGGAGGAGGGAGGCTTCAGAGAGATCCGGAAATGAGGGCAATGCTCACAAAGGGGTCCTCTGGGGGCAGGACATTGGGGAAAAGGCACTGGACTGGGAGTCTGGAATCCACACATGCTGTGGGACCCTGGACACTGTGGCCTGTGTCCCCACCTGTGAAATGAGTGGGGTGCCCTGGACTGGTGGTTTCCAAACCTGGTAGAGCGTCAGAATTCCCTGAAGCCTAGTGAAGTGAAAGTTCTAGGGTGGGGTGGGATTCTGCATTTTTTTAACGAGCTTCCAGGGTGGTTCTTATAAGCAGGCCAGGCTTAAGAAGTGGTCCAGCTCGCTCAGACTGGGATTCTGTGTCTTGGGACAGTCCCCAGAGGGGCCTGGGTGGGGCCGAAGTGGGAGCAAGGGCCAAGTATGGTCCCACTGGTCCCACAGATGCCCAGTACTAGTCAGGCTGGCTCAGGGCTGGAAATGCCATTCCGAACAACGCTACCCTCAGCCCACCTTCTGCTGGAGTGGCAGGTATTTGGTCAAAAGTCGGGAAGTGAGAGGTGATGGGGGGTCTTGCCCGCTCCTGCAGGCTAACTACGTGGGCTGACTCAGCTGGGCTTGCAAGGAGGGCCCAGGCCGGCCTGCGGAGCTGTGAGCGCCTCTGCAGCGCCCCGCTCTCTCTATCCAGCAAGCTCTGCTCAGGTCCTGCCCCTTCTCCCTGCAGGAGGTCTCCGGAAGCAGAGACAAGTCCCACCTCACTGGATCTCAACGCCTGGGTGACCCCCGCTCCCAGCCCAGTGGGGAGGGGTAAAGCGGGGAGAGCAGTGGGAGGTGAGTCCAGACCGTCTGCCCCATCCCAAGGGAGTCTGTGTCATGACCCAGGCTCTCACTCACACATTTCCGGTCTCACTCACAAGGTGGACAGCAAAGCCCATGTTTTCAGTACAGCCACAACCTAAGAAAACAGAATGGACTTGTTCCTAACCGGCAACCTAATTTTTCAACACCCTTAGCATCCAGGAGGCTTTCTCACCCCACCAGGTCCTTTTCTGTCCCTGGGGAATCAGCCTCTGCACCAGGGTCCGACCACCGTAGCACACCAGCGGAGACCCACCTAAGGCCAGAGCTCCCTGGGTCTCCCCAGGCGAGACTGGCCCCTAGAGACCTCAGAGAGGTCCGGGGACTTTTGTCCTATACCTGACCCCATCAGGATCCCTCAGGAAGGCCAGGTCAGGTGGGGCAGAGGGTGATGTTAGGTTTCCTTAGGCTCGGGAACGGAGCCTGAGGTTGTAATGAAAGTAGCCTGGAGATGAGCGCTGGGGCTGGTTTGGGGTTTGGATTAGGAGAGGTTAGGACTGACGCTATGGGCCAGGCTAAGGGGGAGCGGAGTTGAGATGGGGGCTGAGGTTAATAACAAGGTGTAGTGGGAGATGGGACACCGGTGAGTGTTTCAGGGGAGTCACTGGTCTGGAGGGTGAGGACTGGTTATCATGCGTCAGGTTGTAGCAGACACCGAGGGGAAATGAGATAAAGTGAGGCAGAAGGCCACCTCCCTTATCTACCCCCCTCTCTAGGGCACAGCTAAAGGTCAGCTAGGCCCACAGAGGGGGTGCTATAACCCAACCCACCAGGTCCAGCCTCTCACCAAGCCCTGGCTGGGACCTCAGAGGAGGGGCCAGGCCGCGCTCGGCCTCCCCAGGCCAGCAGCCCTGAGCTCCAGCCGAAGCATGGCCCCGGGAGCCTCTTAAGTTCAAGTCCCAGGCCTCCCACCTAGGAGCTGCGTGACTTCCGGAAGTACAGTCTGCCTCTCTGCACCCACCGACCTCAGCCCTAAAACGGGGAGCAGAGCCCTTTCCTTGAAAATGACTGGGAGGATGCGATGAAAGTACCCAGCACCCAGCAGGGACCCACCTCAGGCCAGTTCCCTTCCCCCGGGGGGATGGTGGGGAGGCCTGGGCTGGCATCAGAGCCAAAGCTGGATGCTGGAGCAGGGAGCCGGGGGGGACGCAGGGCCGGTCTCCCACACACACCCCCGTCCAGCCCCCAAGAACCCCTGCTGCCCCCCCTTCACACTGGACTCGGCTCTTTGCTAGCAGGTTTTATTTTTTGTTGGCTTGTGTTTTGTTTTTTCAGGCAGCAGCTCAGCTGATTTTTTTTTTTTTTTTTTGATCCAGCAGTCGGACCTTCCTTCCTGAGACTTGAGAGCCTCACCCAGATTCTCATCCCTTCCTCCCGCCCTGAAGGTCACACGACAAGTCACGGGAGTCCCAGAACGCCAGGGCGGGAAGGGGAACCCCCAGGCCGATCCTCTTGCTTTGCAGAGGGGTTGTCCCGAGGCCCCCAGCAAGTCAGGCCAAGCAGTGCCCTTCCCCAGGCCAGGCGGTTCCCTGCAGTTTGACAATGGTTTACCAGGCACCTTCTAGGAGGGCGGAGAGGGCAGCGAGGGTGGGGCCCTGGGGAGCTCAGAGCCTGGAGGGGAGGTCGAGGGAGGTGGGTGAAGAGGAAGCAGCTGTTCAGTGCGGGGCAGTCAGACAGCTGGAGGGGCCGGGGGAGGAGAGATTCTCCATTCTGGATTGAACTCAAGAGTACAATTAGTTACCCGTGGCTGAGGGAACTGCACGGGCAAGGCCAGAAAGGGGGTTTACGGGTATGAGCCCAGCACAGCCCTCCCAGCCTCCTAGTAGTAAGAGCTGCTGCTAACTGTGGGCCAGATACCGTTCTAAGGCTTTTATGTATATTCACTTATTTGGTCCTTATAACAACCCTAGGAGACAGATATGGTATTTCCCCCATTTTACGGATGAAGAAACCGAGGCACTGGGTTTGCAAAAGAGATTTGCCCAAGCTGACACAGTTAGCATTCACTAAAGCTAAGATTTGAACTGGACAGCAGCAGGGTAACCACCAAGAGTTTCACAGAAGAGGAAGACAGGGCGACGGGGAATGACCTGGAGCAAGCAAGAGGCCGGGGCTTCCCGCGCCAGCAGCTGCGTCTCTTACCCGTCAGCACTCCGGGGCTCAGCCACAGCCAGGGTTGGAAGCACGGGCGCCCCATGGGGCAGAGTTCAAATCCCAGCCTGGACTCCCCTGCAGAGGAGCATGCGGCCGTGGCCAGCCCCTGGCTCCCTGGAGCCTTGCAGAAGGTACGGCGCCGCCCTTCCTCCGAGTTGTGGGGAGGCCACAACCAGGGCACCCTCAGCCCAGGGTGGGTACCTTCCTATCACCCCACCGTCCACTCCCCAATCCAAGCCCTCCGGATCCTCAGAGGCCTTGTGCCGACACCTGACACATCTGAGGCTGCCAGCAACACAGAGAGAAGGCCCCTGGGGCAGGGGAGGGGACACAGCCGACCCACTCCAGCCCCGTGGAAACTGAGGCACAGAACAAGGAAGTGCCGGCCCATGTCTCCCACGCAGGGGACGAGGGCAGTGAGCAGACACAGGACACCTGCCCCGGCAGCTTCCTGGGGAAGGACGGGGGTGGAGCAGCAAGAACTCAGGCTTCGGGGTCGGGCCTGTGGAGTCCTCTCTACGTTTCATGCCTACCAGAACCTAGCATCTTCCCTGAGATGCTTGCCAACAACTCAGAAGCCCGGGCCCCAGCCCTAGATATCCCGACCCCACACTCTGGGTTGTGGGGTGCAACCCAGGCATCTGTATTCACCCCCACATGATTCTGAGGACCAGCCAGGTCAAGAGCCCCCCAACTCCCCAGGGAAGGGTCCCCCGTAACAGCAATGCAGACAGGGGTCACCCACCCCACTGCCTAGGCCTAGTGCCTGGAATCAAACCTGAAATTCACCAGAGGGGCCTAGATTTCAAGGAAGACCTCTGGCCCGTCCGCACCCACCGTAGAGCACCCATTGCACAACAAGGAGTCGATTTAGTAAAACAAGTGAATAATCACCCTCCCCGTTTCCTCTTTGGGATAAATCTGAATATTCAGGGTCCTTAAGGCCAGGTACCCCAGAATGTTCTTGGTACAATGGTCCACTCACCCCCAAACACACACACACACACACACACACACACACACACACACACCAGGCCTTCGGTTCCCAGCAACCAGCCTGGTGTGGGAACAGCTGGAGGGCAGGGCCAGCAAATGCTTAGAAGAAGGCAAGCCTCTCCCCAACTTTAACTTCTGCTTTCCGAAACCTCCTCTGGAAATCCTTCCCACCTAAGGCCCCAGCGGATTCAGATGGAAGTTTCTACCTGTGGGCTCTGGTGACGTCTGGATTCGCACAGAAAGCATGTGGGGTGTGGGGTGAGTTATTTTTTCAAACTGATCAGACCAGATGCTCCCAGTCCCTTCCTCTCCCTGTTCTCCCCCCACCCCCTGCCCCACCCTGACACACACAAAGGGCCAGGTCTGGGTCTCCTTTATTCACAACGGACTGTGACAGACCCCAGTTCAAACCCTAGCTCAGCCCCTTTAACTTTTCTGTGCCTCAGTTTCCTCACCTGCAAAGTGGGGGTAGCTGCCTCTTAGGGCAGTTGTGAGAATTGAACTGAAGAGGGCATGGAAATTTCAGGAGAGGACACCTGTCACAGGATGTCCTCAGCAGAGGTCACTACGAGTGCTAGCTTTGAGTCACCCAGGGCTGCTCACTCTCCCTAAACTCTGCCTACACCCTTCTGTCTCCCCCTCCCCCCTCCCCCACACCCCCTTACCCCTCCCTTACCCCTCCCCCTCCCTCCCACTGGATCCTGAATGCGTCCTGAGAATATCTAAACCCTGGGGTTGCATCTGCCTCCAAGAAAATGGGTTTAGGGGAAACTCAAACAAGATGATGGCTGGGCGAGGGTTTTAGGAACTGTCTGTGCTGCCAGGGTGGGAGCGGAGAGGAAGATCCCACTCAGACTCTAATTCTTGGGCCACTGACTGAAGGGAAAGGGTCCCAGAGAGACCAGCAACTTCGAGCAAACAGGCTGGGCCTGGCTGCCGGGGCGTACATGCTGCTGGGTGCAGAGGGTGTGGCATCTGTGGCCGCAGCCCTAGGCTTGGGGGTCAGCAGGAGTGAGGCAACCGCCGCAGGTCTTGGAATGAGCGCAGGGGACTTCCTTGAATGGTGCAACTGAAGGGAGGGGCGAGCCAGGGTCAGACCCCAGCCCTGATCAGCTCAGCAGGCCCACTCTGGGGTCCAAGGACAAGTTCAGGCCCAAGCTCACCCGCTGACTCCCTGTGTGCCTGGAGGCAGGACAGTACAGTGTTTAGAGGCCTCTGACCACTCGTTTCACCTGCCCAGGCCTCCCATTTGCCCCTGTGAAATGGGAAGCACGGCCTGGGAAAGTCCATCCTAGCAGATTCCCTCAAGAGGAGCCTGGCTCCAGCGCGCTGCTTAAGGCCACTGTGATTCCATGACCCCAGTCACCACAGGGTGGCTTCCTTCCTTCCCTCAGCGCTGGCAGAGCATGAACCAACCGTCCGGGGCGGACACGCAGGGCCAAGCCCGTGCCCCAAAGGCCTGCCCATCTCTGCCAAGCAGCTCCACCTCCCTGGCTACAGCCCCCCAGCCCAGACCACGGCCCGCCTGCCCGCAGACCCTCCTGACTGAAAGCTGTCTCCAAAACAAATCGATGCTAACGAGCCGCTGCAGGGCCGGCCTACACATCTGCTCAGCAGAAGTCCCACTGCAGACTTCACCAGCATCCCTGCCCGCTCCCGCAGTCTGCGGCCCTTGGGGGTGGGGGTGGGGAGGAGGACAGAACTCAGTTGGAAATTTCACTCTAAAAGGATGAAGATATATGCGGCTAATGCACAGCACATCCTCCTGGGTCCACGCTCTAGCACACAGGCCCAAGAGAAAGAGGTCCAGCTCGCAAGGGTGGGGATGGGGGGGTCACCGACGAAATGCTCCAGCCTCGCCTTTTCTTTGGCCCCAACCAAAGGCAAACCACACCCAAGCGGCCCCAGCAACGGGAGGAGTTTCAGGAGGCTGGTGGTTTCCACAGTAACAAAGGGTGAGGGGCTCCTTGTTGACAAATTGCTTCCCCACCCCCATCCCCCGTCAGCGCCCAGCCTTTGGCCTCCGGCCCTGACCTCTGTTTTCCTGGGGTTCCCGTAGTTACAGGCTGGTGTCCTCCAGCTGGGCGAGGACCTCGGAAAGCCTGAAAATGTGCCCTTCTCCCCGGGTGCCGGCCAACCCCCTGGCCACGCCAAGGCGGCCAGCTGCCCCCTTTACTGCGGCGTGTAAAAGATCAGAATCGCCCCGCCCAGGGAGCGGGGCGGGCAGGTGGCCGGCAGCACAGCCCAGTTGTCCAGGCCGCCTCGCGGGGGTGGAACTCTTAAGAAAACTGAGCCCCCGGAAAGGCTGGCTCCCCTGCCCCAGACTCAATTCCAGGGGGATGACCCAGGCCAGTCCCCCGGGGCAGGCGGAAGGTAGGAGGAGGGTTTCGCTTCTTTTACCAGGTCTAGGAAACTATTCACGAGCCCCGGTGGGGGCCCCGTGCCTCCGACCCGGGCTGGGAGCGCTGTCCGAATTTGAGGGCGGGGGACCAGGAAGACGCAGGAACTGAGAGAGAGACTCCCACAGCGGGGCAGGCGGAGAGACGGAGAGAAAACATAAAGGCAGAGGCACAAACCCAGGGAAATGGAAAACAGGCAGAAGCGGAGAAACAGAAAGAAAGGGGCCAGAACCAGATAAAGAGAGGAACGGAAATAGACGGAGACACGCAGATGGGGAGACAGAAACACAGAGAGAGACAAAAAGGAGGCAGAAACGTACGGGAGTGGAGAGGCTCGCGGCGCGGCGAGGCCCGGACAGAGCAGCGGGGACGCGCGAGCCCCGCGGCCGAGCTCCGGGCGCTGCCCCGGCGGCCGCGCGGCCCGACCCGCCCTCGACCCGCCCGGCTTTCTCTCGGCCGCGCATCTCCCTCCCTTTCTCTCTTGGCCGCGGAACTCCTACCGAGAAATGGAAACCCCTGTTGAGTCGGGGGACCGGCTCGGGGCGCAGGGGTGCTCCCTGGCCACCCCGTGCCGCGCCCACGTCCCCAGACCCGGCGCCCCGAGCCCCCAGTGTTCCCGGGCTCGGCGGCGGCGCCTCCGCACGGTGCCCTGGGCTGGCGGGCGGGCCGGGGGCGCGGCGCTGCGCCTGCGGCCGAAGCCTCTGGAAGCTGGGCGCCCGCGTGCCGGCCCGGGCGGGACTTACCGCGCGCGCGGCGGCGGTGGGAAGCGCGGCGCGCCCGCCGGTTCCTGCGGAGCTGTCTGCGGGCCGCGGGGGGCAGGCTCGGCGCCCCCGGGAGGCTCGGGGAGGCGGCCGGCAGGGCTGGCGGCGGCCCCGCGAGGCTCGGCTGGGCTGCGCTGCGCGCTGTCTGCGGCCCCGGGCGGGCGCGCGGTGCGGGGGAGCGGCGAGCCGAGCGGCTCCGACGTCAGGGGTGTCTCCGCTCCAAATAGGGAGCGAGGGCGGGGGCAGTGGAGGGAGGGACGCGAAAAAGAAAGAGCGGGCGGGCGCGCTGGGCCGCTCCCTCCGGGCGCGCAGGAGGGGGCGCCTCAGCCGCCCGGGGCCCCGGCCCCTTCTCCCCGTCGCCCTCGAGCCCCGGGCCGGGCTCCGGCGCGGTCCGACGGCGCGGCGGAGCTACCGGGGCCGCCCTGATCGGCGCCCTAGGGGCAGGGCAGAGAGCCCGGCGCCCCGGCTCGTTCTAAAGCGCCCTCCGCCGGATTTCTCTGCGCTCGGACTTCTCTCCCAACTTTCCCCCAGCCCGGCCATCGGGCCGTGCCAGGCCTCCGGGTGACAAAGATGGAAGTATTCCTTTTTGTGGGAACCGGGTGCTGCAGTCTTGCTCCGAGGTTGTGGCGCCCCAGTCCACCGAGCCGCGGCACCAGGAGACTGTCCTCCCTCAGTCCTGCGGTGCGCCCAACCTATCCGCTCCCGGCCGTGCGACCCGGGGCTGGTCCGCGCTCTTAGTTCCCTAGTGTCACTCGACCTCCGCCCGGCCTCACCTCAGCGCCAGGCACTTGGCTTAAGTGTGCAGAGAAGGGTCTGAGAGTCCCGAGAAGGACTATCCGGAACGTCGGAAACTGAACTCACTTCTCTGACTCCTGGGAAGAGCAGAGCACCCAGCGCGGCGTCCCAGCCTCAGCTGTTGGGTACGGGGGTACCCAGCTTATCAGCCTGTACTTGGGCACTCGGGCGGGTTTCGGTCGTGCCCTCTCTCTTTGGTGTGCCAGTGAAGTGAGAAAATAGCTTTGCTCCTGAAAAGTAGTAGCCCGGTCCTGAGACGAGATTTAGGAATTTTGCGTTCTACCACAGTGGTGGGTGTCCATGCATCTCACCCCAGCCTGGCTGGAAGCCCCCAGATGGAAGCAGCCCTGCTCTTCCGATGTCACAGGTTGCTGAGCATCCCAGTGGCTCCTAGTGGCCTGTTGATAATTCCATGGTGTACGCTGACCTATCTGCCTCTCCAAACCCAGTACTGCGTCTCTATGCCTCCTAGCTCTTGCTTGTGCTGTTCCCTCTGCCTGGGGTTCCCTTCCCCTCTTTTCATCTCCTAGTAAAGGCACTCTTCAAGCACCAGATTGGAAAGCCTTCCCAAGACCCAAGTAGCATAAACCCCTCCCTTCTACGGTGTGATCCTGGAAGCACAGGATACATACCCTCTGTTCATGGTAATTTCCCTCTAGACTAGTTGAGTAGATCTCTTTCCTCCACTTGACTGTGGGCTCCTTGAGGGCAGGGATCACCTGTGTCAGTGTCCCCGGGGCTTGGCAAACAAGGGGTACAATATATTTGGCTGAATTAAGTAATTAATATCCCCCATAAATGTTTCCATGAGTATAAATGTAATAATGCTCATAATAGCTCAGGCATATTGAGCACCTTCCTATACTACGTGCCTGGTCCCATTCGAAGCACTTTCCACCCACACAATAAGTCTGTGAAATAAACAGTATTGTTATCCCCATTTCATAAGTGAAAGTACCAAGACCAAGAGAGAGAGGTTAAGTAACTGGCCTAAAGTCACACAGTAAAGGGGATGCCAGCTACCGTCTGCTGGAGGAACACATCCCACCAGGTGTAGCCTCACTGCCTGGTACACAGTAGGCACTCAGGAAACACTGACCATTGTGCTCACCACTGCCACTCTCAATGTGCATCCCAGGTGGGGTGGGGACTGGATGTCTACATTTTGTAAGAACCCAGCCCACTGTAAGAAGCCAGTTGGGTAGCCTAATGAGCGTGTCAAGTCATACAGACAGCCTGAAGTAGAAGCCCTTGACAGTTCAGCCACCCAGCCACCTAATCAAGGACATGGGGTTTGGGACTGGGTCACACCTGTGTGGTGAAGACTGGTAATTACAGGAGGGTTACCATGTGAACAAGGGGTCTGGAAAGTAACTTGTTAATACTATCAACAGCTATCACTTTGTGCCAGGCATTATACCAAGCACTATGCCTGCTTTATTGTATGGAAACCTGACCATAATCCTATCATCATTCCCATTTTACAGATGAGAAAAATCAAGGCATCAGAAGCCTAGCTACCTGCCCAAGATCACACCACTAGTGATGGACAGAGTCCAGACTTGAATCCGGACCCATCAACTGCGAAGCCCATGCTCCTTTGCCCACCACAGCCTCTTGGCTGCCTCAGAGCCCCTCCATCAGGCTGCAGCAAGGATGCTGCACCACCAGGACCCAGGGTGGTGGGG